TCAAGAAAGCCCCCCAAGGCCTCAGGGACCTCAAAGGACCCCCAGGGACACCCCTCAAGGTCTCAGGGACCTCACATGACTCTCAGGGATCCCAATAACCCCCCCAAAGCTCCTTTCCTGCTCCCCATCCCCCCCCAAAACTCACCCAGCTCCTTGAGACGTGCCTGGCGGGGGTGCAGGGGGGCGACCGGACGCCGGGGTCCCCCCGGCCGGGAGACTTTAAGGGACCCCCATGGATCCCCCTTGAGGTCTCAAGGACCTCAAGAAAGCCCCCCAAGGCCTCAGGGACCTCAAAGGACCCCCAGGGACACCCCTCAAGGTCTCAGGGACCTCAAGGAACCCCCCCCAGGGCCTCAGGGACCTCAAGGGACCCCAAGGATCCCCCTCAAGGTCTCAAGGGCCTCAAGAGACCCCCAGGGACACCGCTCAAGGACCTTAAGGGACCTCCAGGGATCCTCCTCAAGGTCTCAAGGACCTCACGGGACCCCCCCAGGGCCTCAGAGATCCCCACAGATCCCCCTCAAGGTGTCAAGGAACCCCCCCCAAGGCCTCAGGGACCTCAAGGGGACCCCCAGGGACACCCCTCAAGGTCTCAGAGACCTCAAGGGACACCCCAGGAAGTGGCAACCCCCCTCCCAAAACACCCATCTGTCTGTCCAGCCCCCTACTCACTTGAGTCCCCTCAGGCTTCCAGTGGCCGCCCCGGGACCGGGCGGCCCGGGCAGCTCCCGGGGGAGATCGCAAGAAGCAGCGGCTTCATCCTCCTCCTCCTCTTCTTCCTCCTCGTCCTCCTCCTCCTCTTCCTCCTCCTCCTCGTCAGCCCGGGCCCGCAGGACGTCGGCGAGGAGCGGGACGAGGCCGCGAGCCTCCAGGGCGGCCAAGGCCTCCTGGTCGTAGGCAAAAGCAGCCAAAGCCAGGAGGACGCGTGGCCGCCACGGCCGGGCGCGGGGCTCGGCCAGGAGGCGCAGGAGTAGCCCCAGGCCACCGGCCGCCCGCACCCTGGCCCGGTTCACGGCTTCCCGGCACAGCAGGCAGAGGGCCCGCACGGCCACGGTGGCGCCGGCCACGCCGTTGGTGTTGTTGGGGGAGGCCAAGGCTCTCTTCACCTCCTCGGCCACCGCTTCCACCGCCCCGGCAGCCCCCAGGGCGGGTCGGAGAGGGGCTCGGGCGCAGGCGTTGGCGATGGCCCCCAGGGCGGGCTGGCGGTGGTCCCGCTTGGCGTGGGCGGCCAAGGCGGCCAAGGCGGGTAAAGCGGGGGCCACGTCGTCGGCCGAGGGGCCGGGGCTGTCGGTGAGACCCCGTAGAGCCCGGGCCAGGGCCAGGCAAGCGGGGTGGGTCGGGGAGAGGGTGGCCAAGCGGGAAGCCAAAGCTCGGATGGCGCCGGCTCGTCCCAGGGCTCGTCGGGGGGCCGGGGCAGCCCCCAGGATGCGGAGGGCACGGGCCGCGCTGTGGAGGCACTCGGGGGTGCCGCAGGAGGCGGCCAGGGACACCAGGAGGGGACCGGCACCTGTGAAAGGAGAAGAGAAGAGTTAAGAAACTGGGGGGGGGGACACACACAGCCTCGAGGGAGGGAGGGAGAAAGCCGCTCAGGAAAACTTGTGGACGTTGGGGACATCCTGCTACCCACCGGCGATGAGAAACACAGAATGCTCTGGGGCTGGAAGGGGCCTCCTCGAGATCATCTCCTCCAACCCCCCCTGCCAGACAAGGTCTACCCAGAGCAGGTCCCACAGGAACGTGGTCCAGGCGGGGTTTGGGAATGTCTCCAGAGAAGGAGACTCTACCACTGCCCCGGGCAGCCTCTGCCAGGGCTCTGCCACCCTCAAGGGAAAGAAGTTCCTCCTCATGTTGAGGTGGGACTTCTGATGGTCGAGTTTGTACCCGTTCCCTCTTGTCCTGTCCCTGGGCACCACTGAAAACAGACCGGCCCCGTCCTCCTGACACCCTCCCCAGGCGGGGTTTGGGAATGTCTCCAGAGAAGGAGACTCTACCACTGCCCCGGGCAGCCTCTGCCAGGGCTCTGCCACCCTCAAGGGAAGACCTCAAGGGACACCCCAGGAAGTGGCAACCCCCCTCCCAAAACACCCATCTGTCTGTCCAGCCCCCTACTCACTTGAGTCCCCTCAGGCTTCCAGTGGCCGCCCCGGGACCGGGCGGCCCGGGCAGCTCCCGGGGGAGATCGCAAGAAGCAGCGGCTTCATCCTCCTCCTCCTCTTCTTCCTCCTCGTCCTCCTCCTCCTCTTCCTCCTCCTCCTCGTCAGCCCGGGCCCGCAGGACGTCGGCGAGGAGCGGGACGAGGCCGCGAGCCTCCAGGGCGGCCAAGGCCTCCTGGTCGTAGGCAAAAGCAGCCAAAGCCAGGAGGACGCGTGGCCGCCACGGCCGGGCGCGGGGCTCGGCGCTTCCACCGCCCCGGCAGCCCCCAGGGCGGGTCGGAGAGGGGCTCGGGCGCAGGCGTTGGCGATGGCCCCCAGGGCGGGCTGGCGGTGGTCCCGCTTGGCGTGGGCGGCCAAGGCGGCCAAGGCGGGTAAAGCGGGGGCCACGTCGTCGGCCGAGGGGCCGGGGCTGTCGGTGAGACCCCGTAGAGCCCGGGCCAGGGCCAGGCAAGCGGGGTGGGTCGGGGAGAGGGTGGCCAAGCGGGAAGCCAAAGCTCGGATGGCGCCGGCTCGTCCCAGGGCTCGTCGGGGGGCCGGGGCAGCCCCCAGGATGCGGAGGGCACGGGCCGCGCTGTGGAGGCACTCGGGGGTGCCGCAGGAGGCGGCCAGGGACACCAGGAGGGGACCGGCACCTGTGAAAGGAGAAGAGAAGAGTTAAGAAACTGGGGGGGGGGACACACACAGCCTCGAGGGAGGGAGGGAGAAAGCCGCTCAGGAAAACTTGTGGACGTTGGGGACATCCTGCTACCCACCGGCGATGAGAAACACAGAATGCTCTGGGGCTGGAAGGGGCCTCCTCGAGATCATCTCCTCCAACCCCCCCTGCCAGACAAGGTCTACCCAGAGCAGGTCCCACAGGAACGTGGTCCAGGCGGGGTTTGGGAATGTCTCCAGAGAAGGAGACTCTACCACTGCCCCGGGCAGCCTCTGCCAGGGCTCTGCCACCCTCAAGGGAAAGAAGTTCCTCCTCATGTTGAGGTGGGACTTCTGATGGTCGAGTTTGTACCCGTTCCCTCTTGTCCTGTCCCTGGGCACCACTGAAAACAGACCGGCCCCGTCCTCCTGACACCCTCCCTTTAAGTATTTATAGGCGTTGACCAGATGCCCCCTCAGCCTTCTCTTCTCCAGACTCAAAAGACCCAAGAGATCCCCTGAAGGACACTGGGACCCCCAAAGGACCCCTAGAAACCCCTTGGGGAACCTCATGCAGGGCCAAGAGACCCCCCAAAAGACACTGGGACCCCCCTGGGGACCTCACGGACACCCAAAGGACCCCGAAAAAACACCTCGGGGAACCTCATGCAGGGCCAAGAGGCCCTCCGAACCCCAAGAGACCCCCCTGAAAGACACTGGGACCCCCACTCACCAGCGTCGAGGACGTCCCGGGCACCATCGGGCTCCAGCGCCAGGTTGGCGAGGGTGCGGGCCACCCGGTTCTGCACGCTCTCGGGCCCCGGGGAGGAGAGCAGGGCCACTGCGGGGACAGAGGGCAGAGGTCACTGCCAGGGACAGGTTGGGGGTCACCGGAGGGGGGTGTGTGTGGGGGGTTCCCCATTGCTCCCAATGGGGCTCAGACTGAACCATTACAGGGGAAGGGGGGGGCTCCGGGGCTGTCCCACTCCCACTCTTGGGGGGGATCCAGACACACTCCCACTTTGGGGGGGCTCTGGGCTGTCCCGTTCCCAATTTGGGGGGGTCCAGACCCACTCCCAGTTTGGGGGGGGCTCCGGGCTGTCCCATTCCCACTTTGGCGGGGCTCCGGGCTGTCCCAATCCCACTTCGGGGGGTTCTGGACCGTCCCATTCCCCGCAGGGGGAGTCTCCCGTCCCGTCCCCGCTTCCGCCGCCGGCACTCACCCAGGCGGGGGAC